ATGTCACCCATTGCTTTTGACAGCAATTGTAATACTTTGTGTGTAGTTTCTTTATTATAATTCTTAATCATTTTTTTGACGCCTGTATGGGTGTAGTCGTATATTTTTGTATAATAAAGTTTCTTTCTTTTTTTCTTATTGCATTTTTTACTTAGCAAACAAGATGTCGACCCACCTGAAAGTGGTATCTTCTTCACTTATAGATATGAAAAGTAGTATGTATATTACAGAATAGACAATCCTTTGGCAAAGTAGCATTTATCCGTTGCCATTCTATAACTATGATGTTATGCTATTGGCAAAATTTTAAAAAAGAAGCACCTAATCTAGCAATACTACTCTTATCCATCTATTCCCCGCAATATGTTCTAGTTCGTAGGTCACGGCGGCGCGCGTCGCGGGTTTGAGACAGCGGCGGGTGTCGCAAGCTGGCCCCGTTCCCAGGCTGAGGACGCGGAAGCCAATGTGATCTTAACACGAGGAGCAGCCATGTATACAAATTTGATACGTTTTAAACACCTTTAAAAAGGAAAAGATTTTCAAATACCTACATTTGTTATTTGAATAGCAATTAGATATTTAGTTGAACTTGTGGTCTACCATGAAATGAAATTCCTAAATTTCGGGCTCAATTTCGTGTTTTTGTTCGTATCAAAATCGACCCAGTAAATGGAGCATAACATTTCGTTCATCATAAATCCTATTCTAATAGTCCAAAAGGAACGATATTTTAACCTTTTTAATAATTTTAAACGGCATGTATTATGTAATTTTAACATCAAATTTCTGTTTCGTTCGTCCCCGAAATTTCGGAAAATACTTCATGGTAGGCCCTCTGTTTTCAACTGACTTTAAAAAAGTACGAAGTTCTCGATTCGATTGTGTATTTTTATGTTTATTATAAGTCCATTATTTATGAACTAATTTGAAAAATTTATATTTCTTTATCTGAAAAGATATATATATATATATATATATATATATATATATATATATATATATATATATATATATATATATATATATATACTTTCAGATTGGTTTCACCATAAAATGTTTATCGAAATCTAGTATTCAAAGCAAGTAACCGATTTTGCCACTATTAAAGTAGTTTTTTGATTGTGGAACAGTATCTTAAATTATGATGACTATTTTTGAAAAACGATTTACGTCTGTATATTGGTCTCGTGTTCAGTTTGTGATGATTGAAGCCTTTTTTTGGCTTTTTTTTTCTTTAAGCAAAATCTACTCCACCATCTAAATGTTATGAGATGCCCAGCCAAACGACTTTTGTACATAATCTCCCTCTGATAAATAGATAATCATTATTATTAAATTCACAGGATCTATTCCATCTGAATCTGTATTCCAGCTCAGTATACCTATTAGGACTCATAGTGTATACAAAGTGATACCGTCATATCCACTAGTGAGAACGCTCCGACAAGGATTTCTATTTCGGCTTTACTACGCGAGATGCATTGCAAACATCTATTTGTATTTAGTATTTAACAGTCAAGCACCTAGACATTGGAATATTCTAGAAATTGTGAACATGGAAGTGGCAGATTGGAATTCAGCTATTCATTACATTCGCGTGATAAAATTAAGATATATTGTTATTATTGAAAGACGGCAATGCAACAGTGTGGTCCCGGCATAGAATAGGTCAACTTTTCCTTTCCCGTATGTGCCGTAAGAGGCAACTAAGGGAGGGGAATGGCAGCAGCGTCCCTCTTAATACATCTCCAAAGCCTAACTTTAGTTGCTAATCCATCTGCCAGGCGTGGCAATTACTGGCAAAACCACCCAAGGGGAGGTTGGTTTATGTTGAAAGTGGACAGTTAAAGCTGATGTAATGATTAAAAGACGGGGAGAAAAATCCGTGACACTGCGACTTTTCCATGGTATTTTTTTGCTCGCCCTTTGGAAATTAAGATAAAACCTAACCCTCTTATTCATAGAAACGTTAAACCTCTCACAAACCAATTTTAGCTATTGAACTATTTTGTCTCTTTCTTTTACACTAAATTCCCAATTTGAAAGAAAGTGACAATACAGTGTAATAGTTAAAATAGATTTGCTGGTTTTAGTTTTTATGAATAAAGCAGTAAGTCTATACCAACTGCTTATTAAGCGGTTAAACCATCAATAAATAACAAACTCATTTTCGTATTTATGTACCTAACTAAAAATGAATCATTAAATATGTTACTAAGCGCGAAGCACGAAAATGGCTAGATTAATACCATAATTAAAAAAAAAACAAAACAAAAAACATTATTGTAGCCCGAGGAAAGTTCTTGGAGAGATAAAAATTGGAAAAATCGCTCGAAAAAACTGTAAAATCTTAATTTTTCTTTAACCTATACAAACCGTTTGTAGCTACCAATACTAATATACCAATAACTCTTGATAACGGAATAGTTCAACTAATCGTCATAAAATTTAATATGTGTATACTACTTGGCATGGTGAACAACATATGCTAGGAGTGCCGAGCCTAACATATAAAAAATATTTTATCTTTAACGAAATTGCAGGGAGAAAGCTAGTTTATAATTTCTAATAAAATAAATAAAATTAATGTTAATTAAAGCTTAGTAATTTATATTATATATTAGTAAATTTTATAGGACATCTTCTTGTAAATATTCTAAAGAAGCAAATCTAAACCGAAATCCATTTCTTGCATCTCTCTCCCAATACCTACATATAACATACCTACATATGAAAATATCGAAGTTCTAGACCTTCAATATTTTTTACATGACATTCCGAATTCCAAATACGTATCAATTAAAAAAATTAAGCCATTTAGGAATCTGGTTTATGCCTTAGACAGAGCGCAAAGCTTTCTTGTTTCCGTCCAAGGTTAATACGCCCACATCCCACACTCAACTCCACTTATATGATAACATAGATCTATATTGCTTTGATACCACTCTATAAGGTAAATGCTAAGCATACGGTAAATGCTATATGAATGTCATTGACGTATTAGGTCAATTTAAACTGAAACTTCCATTAAAGTATTTAAATTTATGATTTTTTAAACCTTAAACTGTATCATAACACTGTTCTCTATTAAATTGATTCGTAAATTGTCAAATATAGTTTATATAAGAGAATCTGTAGTATTCATATTTTAATAGGTAAAGCAACTATTTATCACCTACTTATTATTCATTACTACTGTAAAAAATCTTACAGATGTTTAAAGATTGATATTGAATTTCTTTAGCCCACGAGTTAATACAATAGAAGACAAAAAATCATCTATAACCGTGTCACTTTAAAAAAAAACATTTGTATAAAATTTATGCAACCAGTTCACTGAATTTGTAAAATTTTACATTATAAAATAGCCATATTTTATTTTACACCTATGGAAAAAAATATATACTTTAAAGTAATGAGATTTTATACTGTATTATCATACTTGTGGATTATTTATAATGTACCTGATATCATAAATAGTTCAGCACTATAAATTCTCACATATTTTATTATATTGATACCTACTCATAGATGGTTACATAGATTAATTTGATACTTCTATCAATATAAGAGCAGTGTCAACTCTTAAATATAATAACATAATGATTAATTATTCTTTGTTCATCTACATCATTTGCAAATATTATAATTATGTTGACATAAAAACCCAGTGATACACAATCAACATTTTTATGTATATATTTTCTACGCAAACATAATATTTTCCACGGTACCGTTTTCACTTTCCGTTAGCTTTACCTCGCTTTCGTTTTCACTTTCGATACGTTGCGATACACAGCGCTTTATGGATTATTAATTAGCCTTGAGTTTTTTATTGCAGATTATAAAATTAATGTTACGGTTATATATGATCGCGAATTTTTTTTTTTTTAATTATATTTATGCGTAAATTGGCCGAATTAAATAAATTAATGAAAGTTATTTATTATTTTCACACAAATACTTATGTTAAGCAATGAATTAACCACTAATATTAGAGTACTTAGAAAATAAACTAATGTATTTTTTAATTAATCCTTGCTCTATCTTTGGCTCGTATGGTATGAGGTGAATGACCCGGACAGACTATTGTCCTTTCTAGACCTAATACAAGCACAGCTTAGACCTAGGCATTAGGTACTTATGTTGCCTAATAATGGTATCTGGAATACTTACAACACTTACACTTGAATGTGCTATGTTTTATATTTTAGTACGTAGATAGATATATCGATATTTTATAAATAAATAATAACTATATCTATATAACAGAATATATATAATTGATTTTCGTTTATATATTTCAAATATCTATTAAGTATCTAATAATTTAAATTGATATTTATAAAAAAATCAATCGAATATTTTGTTCATCAGATCGTAAAAATAAAAAAAAAAAAACAAGGAGATATTTAAAACCGAAATCAAAATAACTTTAAGTTAACATCCAGCTTTTTTAGGTACCTACTTAGTGTAAATTTTCCGAAATATAAAAATTAAAAATACTCAGGTAAATATAAGTTCTGTATAAGGCATTTATAGTTATTAATTTTATTACGTTTTTAACTAAAAAAACTCTTCATCACATATGGGAACAATAATATCAAATATAGTAACTCCTTTTAGCATTATAAATATTCGTAGAGGTAATAAACTAGAACTTATCACACAAAGCTATGCGAAACATTATAAAACTTTTTAATGATATTAAAACTGCGTCAAAGACTTCATGATTTGATAAATTAATTCAAATATAGAATACATATATGATAATGTTGGCATTCTGATTGTTTCATAATTAATCACATAATATGTATATTCAAACCGCAACGGTCCTGTTCCAAGCAAAAATAAGTAGACATAGAATTGTGGTTTAGAACCACCGCCATGCGAACTTCCGAGACCACTTAAAGAAACACTGTTCACTGAATTATATTCATCCATAAATCCATAGCGCGTTCTACAACCACATTCCTATGACACTTAATAATGCCACTTACGTATATTTTAGCCGCCATATTTAGGGGGGGTAACTGTCACTTTTTCACTCGCGAGACGTGCGCATGCGCGGTGGATACGCGCGGCGAATGGCGGCGCTACGGACGCGGCAAATATATAACCTCCCCCCCAAACTATTATTAATTTAATTAAATACACACATACGATATTTTCACTGTATCAATAAAAGTATTCAGGATTGTATCGGTACTGTATCGATAATCCCTAAACTAAGAAAATAAGTATTGTACATCAGTTATTCGACTAAAACGAAACAAAGGAAAAGGGTATGAATTATATTTTATTACACTTTAAGCAAATTTTGAGAAACAAATGGGGTGTCAATTTAAATTATACAGATAGAGCAACAAGTGTCAAATACGGGTCAAAATGTAATCAGCTAATTTGACGTTTGGCTGATTAAATTTGACACATTTTATATTAATACAAAATAAATCTTTCTCCTTTTGTATAGACACTCTATGAATGCAATCTAAAGTCGCCAATAATATTATCTTCAAATTAATGTGTCAGGCCACTCATTGTGGCCTACTTTTTTTGACTCAGAGATTTTAAAAATTATATATTAAATTTAATAAATAAAATATAATTTCTTTTGGTTTTTTACATGACTGTCGTAAAATCTTATGTTTTTAGGAATTAATAAACACTTATTTAAAAAATAACGCACAGCTATCATAATATGTTTTTTTTTTTTATAAATATAGGATACTTCATTTACGAATCTTTTTTTTTTTATGCAACTTAGAATGGCAAACAAGCTGACGGCCCACCTGATGGAAAGTGGTAACCGTCACCTATAGACATGAGCTGTACCATGGACATAACAGAATATACTGTTTCGCCCATGATACCCCCCATGCGTTGCCATTCCTAAGGACTCAGGTGTTATTCCTCTGTACCCAGTAAACTCACGCCATATCCCACCCTTCAAACCGAAATACAGCCATGCAAACACAACTGCTTCACGGTTGAAACACGAAGTAATTCTAAGTTGTATTAAAAAAACTACATTATATCACTCGCCCCAGTCCGCACAAAGTTTCCAATGCGCTTTCATCTCATCATCATCATCATATCAGCTATTAACTGGCCACTGCTGAACACAAGCCTCCACCATATAGAGAGATTTTGCCAATAGTTGCCACGCTTGGCAAGCAGGTTGGCAACCGCAGTTAGGCTTTGGTGATGATTTAAGAGGAACACTGCTGCCTGTCCCTTGACTATTAACCTCCTTTAGTTGCTTCTTACAACACCCACGGGATATATACAGCATATGCCAATAAGACATATACTACACAAGATGGGTCTATCTTCGGACACACTGTGCAGACTGTGCGGGGAGAAATCGGAATCCATGGAACACTTGATTGTGCAACTGCGATTCGTTGGTATGCGTATGAGTCTACTGGGAACGGCTTATCCGGAGCCAGGGGACTACAGATATCTTAAACCGCGGGATATCGTTAGGGTAACATATAGGATCTATGAAATTATGGTATAAGGCAGGGGGAAGTACAAAAGATCCGTATGGATCGACGTGCAACGACTTAGCTGACCCCATATGCGAAAATAAGATATGAAACACCCACGGGAAAGGAATCTAAGTTTACATGAAAAAAAAATATTTCGTCCTTCCCATCATAATTATCATCAGGGTGTATGTCTTTTAATAGATCGTATACAATACTTCCATAGTGAACTATATTTTCTTTTTTATTTTAATATTATTTTTTTTTTTTTTTTGATGGGTGAAAATGGTAAGGTAACCCCGCCTGCGCTAACGGGATACGCTGACGGAGCACCAGTGAAGGGTGATAGATGAGAAGGAAAACAGGCCAGTTAGCCCATCATGATGAATTCGTCAGGAATTAACCATGATAGTTTCCAGGGGGAACCGCGAAGAGGTCGACCTAGTTGGGTATATTGCTAGCAATGGGATTATTACTAATAATCCCTTTCCCCCAATTTATTTCTTATTGCATTCCATAATGTAATTAGTAGATAACATTCCAACTTCAATTATGGACCCTGTTGGGCACAGCCAGTACGAGAGAGGAGGACGACCCTTTTTTTTTCACTTCTAAAGTGAAAATAGTCTAAGAATCTGTTTAAATTTTTTCCAATAATTGAAATCGTAGGTACGTATTTCCTGTATTATTTTTATTATTATTCATTATTTATTATATATATATATATATATATATATATATATATATATATATATATATATATATATATATATATATATATATATATATATATAATATATATATAATGACGACATAACAGAGTATACTATTTCTCCCATGATACCCCCATGTGTTGCCATTTTTAAGGACTTAGGTGTTAATTATTTAAGTATTGGTGTGTATCTATTCATATTGTAATTGTTATTAGTATTTTACCATCATGTTCCACCGATTACATCGACAGTTTTATTAAATTGAAAAATTTCTTAACCTCTTGTAACAGCTTCTTTACATTACATAATAATAGATCGATAGATTTCAATTTAGATCTTTGAATAATATAAATGGCAAGATGAAAATAAAAAGTAACTATTACATGATTAGACATAAACTTTTATTATTGCTCATTTCGATCAATATGCGCATGCGCAGGTGTTATCTAACGCGATTCCCGTGTGCCCATTGATTTTGAACTGTATTAGAATGCCATAGTACTTCTTAAAGAAAATAATGTAAAATGTTCGGCGTACTTGAATGAACTATTCGAGAACTTTTAAATTTTTAAGCAAATTAAATTGTTTCAAATTTGAAATAAAACTTAAATGAATAATTAAAAAAATATCATCATATTGCAATAATTGCCACGCTTGGTAAGCAGGTTGACAACTGTATTTAGACTTTTGGTGATGATTTTAAGAGGAACAAGAGTCCTTATTAAAATCAATGGCTGGAGCCCCTTAATGATTGAGTCCTATATTCAACAGTGGTCAGTTAACGGCTGATAGAATGATGATGATTCCATTCAAAGGAAACTCAGAGAAAGATTCGATTTCAATAATATAATGAAATTTATTAATTTTTTAATTGATGTACCTTATGTTTTGTTTATTTATAAATATATCTTATGTCCATGGCACTGCTCATGTCTATAGGCGACAGTTACCACTTTCCATCAGGTGGGCCGTCAGCTTGTTTGCCGTTCTAAGTTGTATAAAAAAAAAATTTGAAGTAATTTAATCATTATGTGTAGTTTTTTTATTAATTAGTATTTTTGTTAATTTAATATCATTTAATAATTTAATTCTATTTTAATGTTTATCAAACACAAGGCACGCTGTGGTCGCCTATAAATGTAAGAACAGTTAGATCTAATCTACCAGTGTATTGTATTGAAATGTTTCGCTGTATCTTATGTTGGTGATCCTATAAATAAATATATATGGTATACTAGCTGACCCTGCAAACATTGTTTTGCCATATACATTATTTCTAGAAAATAGTTTTTTTTTTAGTTTAAACTAAAAAATAGCTAACACTATAAGTGTGTTAGGATGTCATTATGATTGAAAAAGGAATGAAGCGTTGTAAGCAATTAAAATATACTTTATTTATGTTAATAAATTAATCAAAATAACAAATACATATTAAATTACAATTATTGATAGCTATCTATACATCGATATTTTTTTTTTCTTTATATTTCTACTAATAATTATGGCAATTAAAAAAAAAAAACAAAGATTAATCTCTCAGCGCAATAAAGTGTTCAACATTTCCAATAATCTATAGACATTTTATTTTGTTTTTTTTTCGGTCCCGGATATTTTTTTTTTACAACACAGGGGGCAAACCAGCATGCGTCTCACCTGATGGTAAGTGACTACCGCCGCCCATGATCACCCACAACACCAGCGGCATTGCAGGTGTGCTGCCGGCCTTTTAAAAAGGAATATACTCTTTTCTTGAAGGTTATGTTGTCGTATCGGTGGAAATACTGCTGCTGGAAGGTTTAATTTCAGATTTATTACTTTATTAATGGTTTTTTTGTCTTATTTATATTATGCATGATTTTATAAACTATTTAGTTAGCTCTATATAAATATCTAGAGCTAACTAAACACTAGTATAGTATTACTTGCTAGCGTTTAGTTTTCACTTCCAATAACTTTACTACTGTATTCGAGGATTAATTGTCTCATTTCCTTATTTTTTTATTATACTTATATATTTGTTTACGCTTATACTTAATCCCTATCTGTGTTTCTAATTCGCTTCTATCTTTATATATAATCTATAATATATTATTTTAACATATATTATATAAGTAAAATTCAAAAAAATTCAAAATTCAAAAATCATTTATTCATGTAGGACATTTTAGCCGCTTATGAACGTCAAATTTTTACATTATAATTTTATTTTTTTCCCTATCGTCCAGTTCGGTAGGTAGGTATTGTATATATTTATAGTGTATGTATTTATGTAAAATTTTATTATATATTTTATCTAACTGTATATTTGTTTATGTATTAATAGTTGTAGCACTCCAGCTGCCCGCTAACGAAATGCTTTCTCTATGCTACTGGGTTGACTGGAAGAGATCTCTGTCAGAGATAAGTCCACCCTTGCTCACAACATTTATAAATACATTATTGTATATGTAACTTACAAGTGCAATAAAGAATATATATAGATACTTTATTCAAAAATAGTACAGAGTAGACAGTAATCCTGCCACTATGCCTGTTATAGATACTGTAACGTAATCTGTGACATAATTGGGCCAATTATACGCAATTATACGTTACTAAACCGATCGCAATGCGACCAAGCACGCGATATCACGTACCGTTTCCGTGTAACACTGGCGTGGCACATGTTCCGAATGTGATGCCAAGTGTATTATTAAGGAACTGTTGTATCCTGATCCTGATATTGTGGGGGGAATATACTCCTCCAGGTCGACCTCCGCGTGGTTCCACCTGGAAGCCATCGTGGTTAATTCTTGTGAAATTCGTCACGATGGGCTAACTGACCTGCATTCATCCTAACCTATCATCTTCCGCTGGTGTCTCGTCGGTGTATATCGATAGCGCAGGCGGGGTAACCATCCTACATAAAAAAAAAATCGGTACATATTATAAAAAAGGATTATGTATCCTTTGTAAACGCGTCGGCAAATTAACTAATAAATAAGTAAAACAGACTTTATCACAACCAAGCCTAAAGTACATTGTCAAATACTAACGCCTCTGTATAATTGCTTGGGCTGTCTATATTCACGGTTCCTATATTCGCGGTATATTTACAGAGCGTACACGCTTCGAATAAAGAGATTTTACTGTACAACATGTTTTAAAGTGTATATTAATTGTAATACTCAACAAACATACATACGTTGCAACATAGCGTAGTTGTGCTTACATGAATTATTCATACAAACTCACTAATTGATTAAGTAACTCGGTAAGTAGTTAGTGATTTAATTTGTTTTATTTGTAAGACACCCACAACCTTAATGAGAAATGAAATTTCACTGCTGCCTTAAATATCTCAATGACATCCTTTCCCTGGTAACATTAATATTAAAATATGTTTATTCCCCATACAAATGTATTCTCCTTTTTTTTTTATACAACTTAGAATGGCAAACAAGCTGACGGTCCACCTGATGGAAAGTGGTAATCGTCGCCTATAGACATGAGCAGTACCGTGGACATAATACTCGTAGAGTATACTGTTTCGCCCATGATACCTCCCATGTGTTGACACTCCTGGACTCAGGTGTTATTCGTCTGTACCCTGTAAATTTACTGCCATATCCCACTATTCAAACCGTAACACAGCCATGCAAACGCAACTGCTTCACTGTAGAAACACGAATTAGACAGAGGTGCCCAAACATTCGACTTTTGTACAAAGTCTCCCTCAAATTTTTTCCCTCAATTTCTCCCTGGATAATGACACTAGAATGTAACTCTAACTGTACAAACACAGACTGTACAAAAGTCGTCTGCTCATGGTAAATACTGATGGTACCATGAAGATTTTTATACAACTTAGAATGGCAAACAAGCTGACGGCCCACCTGATGGAAAGTGGTAACCGTCGCCTATAGACATGAGCAGTACCATGGACATAACAGAGTATACTATTTCGCCTGGTTCCCCCTGGAAACCATCGTGTTGAATTCCAGCTGTATTCACCATGATGGTCTAACTGACCTGCCTGGGGGGAAAGAGATTGTTAGTAATGGGGTCTAACTGACCCATTGCTAGCAATACACTCTATCAGGTCGACCTCCACGCGGTTCCCCCTGGAAACCCTCATGGTTAATTCTAGTGGAATTCGTCATGATGGACTAACTGACCTGCTTTCATCGTCACTTATCATCTCTCACTGATGCCTCGCCAGCGTATACCGTTAGCACAGGCGGGGCTACCATTCCATTATCATTCATAAAAAAATTGTTACTCATTCTAAGCAGATTCTGATTATTTTTTTACAACCGTTAAAATTTACTACCGTGTTGATCTCATACAAATTAGTCACGAAACCTGTTTCTCTTTTGTGGAAGAAAATCTAAAAAAAAATATTTTAAAAAACTAAACACGATCGTTCATTCATTCATACATTTGAAACCGAAGCCACAAATGTCTTCCATTCGGATATTTATTTTGTCATGATATCACCGAATTTTAGTCTTTATTTCATTAGGCATAAGACCTCAAACGAATATCCGAAAGTGTTTTGTTTATTTGTCCGTTATATTTCGCCTAACTTTCGCTGCGCGAGCGCCGATGTCAAGGCCGTCCAAACTAGACTATATAATCTGTAACAGTTTGTCGTATCCCACATCGGATGTTAAGCTGAACACTTTTCAAGAATACACAATTAGATTTTACTATAAAAATTGTAACCGTATAGCAGTTGTGTTTGCATGGCTGTGTTTCAGTTTTAAGGATGGGATATGGCGTGAATTTACAGGGTACAGAGCAATAACATCTGAGTCCTCAGGAATGGCAACGCATGGGGGGTATCATGGGCGTAACAGTATACTCTGTTATGTCCATGATACTGCTCATGTTTATAGGCGACGGTTACCACTTTCCGTCGGCTTGTTTGCCATTCTAAGTTTTATAAAAAAAAAAAAATTGTAAACACAAACGTAACAAATTTAATGGAAAATACATACACACATAAATATATACACAAGAATTAAGAAATATGTAATCGTCATCACATATCAGCCTTTAACTGTCCACTGATGAACATAAACCTCCCTCTAGGGGGTTTTGCCAGTTGTTGCCATGCTTGGCGGGCGGATTGGCAACCGCAGTTAGGCTTTAGAGATGCTTTAAGATTTCGCTGTTGCCCATACCTCGCCCTCCCTTACGCCTTCTTACAACACCTACGGGGAAGAAAAGGATCGTTATACAAACCCCCCAAGGGGGAGGCTTATGTTCAGCGGTGGACAGTTAAAGGCTGACATGATGATATGGCAAACAAGCTAACGGCTCACCTGATGGGATGTGGTAACTGTCGATTAAAGACATGAAAATACCACCTTATATACTGATGGCCTTCGTAATGCAGTGGTGAGCGCGTCGCTAATGAGGTCCCGGTTTCGATTCCCGGTCGGCTCAATTTAGGTAAAGGATTTACCTAAATTGGTTGTACCCCAAAACATTTATTGCCTGATTCCTCATATCATATCCATGAATTGATGTGATTGTCCACTGCTGAACATAAGCCCACCCCCTAAGGGGGCTTATGTTCATGCGGCTCACCAGATTGTTACCTCGAGCAAAGTCATACAGTGTTTTAAGTTGTTGTAATCTATGAAACAGACAGATACTTGGTTGAATTACTAGTTTTATTAATAGATCGCTTTAATTTCTGAAAGGGCGGAGTTCGTGACACAGCAAGGCCGCGCCGGGTCCGGTTGTCTGTCCGTCTGTGTCCGCCATGCGTCATTAACTCAACTGATTTAGCATTCATTATAAACATGTTTGTCTACAGTATAATATGTTTCAAATATATTATTTATAAAGCTAATGCGATTTGTAGAGTGCCTACTTAGTTTTTTTTTTTTATTTAAGGTATACCCTGCCTAAAGGAAATGCTATTATTTCAGTATTTATGTATAACTAGCGGCCAGTCCCGGCGTCGCACGGGTGGACATATTTACATTTTAAAAAGTGGCCATTAAGGCTGCACACGCGACGGAAACTTAAAAATGGAGTAACTTCTCCCGTTTTCTCAACATTTCCCTTCACTGCTCTGCTCCTATTGATCGTAGCGTGATGAAAAGTATACTATAACCTGCCCAGGAGTATGAAGAATAATTGTAATAAGTTTCATTAAAATCCGTAGTAGAGTAGTTTTTGTTTCTATAACGAACATACAGACAGACAGACATAAATTTTACTGATTGCATTTTTGGCATCAGTATCGATCACTAATCACCCCCCGATAGTTATTTTGGAAATATATTTCATGTACAGAATTGACCTCTCTACAGATTTATTATAAGTATAGATTTATTTATTTAACTCTTTATTGCACCATAGACAAAAATATACAATGACAATTTAACAATTACCAGAAGGAGACTTTGTACAAAAGTCGATTGCTTGGGTACCTCTGTCCCATTCGTGTTTCATCCGTGAAGCAGTTGTATTTGCATAGCTGTGTTTCGGTTTGAAGGGTATCCCACCCTTTTTTGAAGGGTGGGATATGGCGTGGCGTTTTAAGGAATTTACGCGCACGTAATACCTCTGGTATTGCAGGCGTTCATAGGCTACGGTAACCACTTATCAACAGGTAAGCCGTATGCTTGATTGCCACCTCAGTGGTATAAAAAAATATTTATAATTTTTTAAGCACACTAAAAAGAGATAAAAAAAAAATTAATAATCCTAAATACCTAAGTAGGTATATCTTGTACAGTTCAGTTTTGTTTAGTACACGGCCGCAGACTGCGTCCCTCGCTCGTGCTTCCCACGGTCTGTCGCCTTGCTTTTTCTGATAACACTATCTGATCGTGCCATAGCTGCAGAGCTGAGTGTAGAACGCAATTTCGTGACGTGTGTGTGTGTGTGTGTGTGTATGTGTTTTTAATCATTTTTAAATAAAACATAAATATTCCAAATTCATACACTAATTGTGTAATCAATAATTTTATAAGCAATAAAATACCTTTAACAATACTAAAACAATTTTCAAAGTCGATGTTTCCCAACATGGGGCCCACGCCCCACAGGGGGTTAATTTGATAGTTAAGGGAGGGCAATTAAAAAATAGACTCGAAGAGATTTTAACCCTCTCGCTCCGGGCCAAATTTAACAAAAAAATGTAATATAAAAAAATACTGTAAATATTTATTAGGTATAATTTCGTTTGACGTTACCAAAACATCAACTGGGCGATTAGAGTCGTCAAGTAAACTTTGTCGGGGAAAATTATGTATGGGGGCATTAAAATTTTAGAAACGTTCAAGTGGGACTTGACACAAAAAAGGTTCGGAAACACTGGTCTAAATGCTATATATACTTTAAATTTTATGTTTAGACGCTGTTTAATAGTTTATACTTTTTTTTTCTTTTTATACAACTTAGAATGGCAAACAAGCTGATGGCCCACCTGATGGAAAGTGATAACCGTCGCCTATAGACATGAGCAGTACTATGGACATAACAGAATATACTGTTTCGCCCATGATACTCCCCATGCGTTGCCATTCCTGAGGACGCAGATGTTATTCCTCTGTACCCTGTAAATTCACTGCCATATCCCACCCTTCAAACCGAAACACAGCCATGCAAACACAATTGCTTCACTATTGAAACACGAATGGGACAGAGGTATCCAAGCAATCAACTTTTGTACAAAGTTTCCCTCTGCAAATCCATTATTTATATAATTAAACCTGTTGAAAAAGCAACAGCTGAGTTTTTAGCCCATTATTGGCTGAAATTGCGTTCCGAATGGGCAGTAATGAAAAAAAATGCTATTCAAAAATGCTTGAATGATAATATTTCTTCTCTGAAAATAGTTTGTACTCTGGGTACTAAGCAACTGATAAACCACCAGAGGGAGACTTTGTACAAAAGTCGATTGCTTGGGTACCTCTGTCCCATTCGTGTTTCAATAGTGAAGCAATTGTGTTTGCATGGCTGTGTTTCGGTTTGAAGGGTGGGATATGGCGTGAATTTACAGGGTACAGAGGAATAACACCTGAGTCCTGAGGAATGGCAACGCATGGGGGGTATCATGGGCGAAACAGTATACTCTGTCATGTCCATGGTACTGCTCATGTCTATAGGCGACGGTTACAACTTTCCATCAGGTGGGCCGTCAGCTTGTTTGCCATTCTAAGTTGTATAAAAAAACATAATTGAATACTTTTTCTGTCTGTTACCTCATAACGTTGTCAGTTATTAAACCGATTTGGAAATTTCTTTTTTTTATCTGAAAGGTTGTACATATAGATTGGTCTCATTGCAATTTTGTCAAAATTGATTTACTGGTACAGTTTTGAGGGGGGAAAGGGATTGTTAGTAATGGATACTGAGAATCCCATTGCTAGCAATATACCCAACCAGGTCGACCTCCTCGCGGTTCCCCCTGGACACTATCATGGTTAATTCCTGATGAATTCATCATGCTGGGCTAACTGGCCTGTTTTCATTCTCATCGATCACCCTTCACTGGTGCTCCGCCAGCGTATCCCGTTAGCGCAGGCGGGGTTACCATACCATTTTCACCCATAAAAAAAGTACAGTTTTGAAGTCAAAATTTTTTGCTATGTAATGATTTTGAATTGAACACAATCTTTAATCATTAATTATTTTTTTTATAACACGGGGCAAACAAGCATGCGGCTCACCTGATGGTAAGTGACTACCGCCGCCCATGATCACCTGCAACACCAGCAGCATTGCAGGTGTGCTGCCGGCCTTTTACATACATACTTATACGTAGAAAACGCTTAGATTAATTAAAACAAACATACTTGGGAATTCGAAGTAATCGTAATTCAAGGTTAATACTGAAACACTTTCTGAATGTAATTATTAACAAACCGAAACAATAGATTAATCGAACCTTTATTTGTACCACTATTAGATTTTTTTTTAATGGGTGAAAATGGTATGGTAACCCCGCCTGCGCTAACGGGATACGCTGGCAGAGCACTAGTGAAGGGTGAAAGATGAGAATGAAAACAGGCCAGTTAGCCCATCATAATGAATTCATCAGGAATTAACCATGATAGTTTCCAGGGGGAACCGCGAGGAAGTCGACCTGGTTGGGTATATTGCTAGCGATGGGATTCTCAGTCTCCATTACTAACAATCATTTTCCCCCCACTATTAGATATTAGTAGATTGTTTATATTCGGGTCAGTTATTCGTTTGTTTCCAAGTTCACCATTTAAAAAAAAACTGTTTGTTGCCATCGAAGATTAGCACAAAACTTAATTAACTTACAGTTCACGGTTTTAATAGACCTTCGTCTGCCTGTTACTCCTATTTTATCTATTCTCAAGTTCTTCAAGTTCAAACTAATCAATACCCAAAATAAATACAAACAATGTCGTCCAACGCACAAACAATATTTCACATTCAACCAATGGATTCTTACGATAGCCGCAGAGCCGAAACGAATAACCTAGCCGCGAGTCGCATCGTAAGTTGTACAAAGCCAATTGCTCACATACGCACGGCGTACGCCAATTTAAACTTTATTGTCTGCACGTTACAGATTATAAAAATAACGTTCACTTTTTAAATAGTTGTCAAACATGCGCAGTGTTGCCACAGTCCGCGCAGTGTTCCAGATATGTCAAGGACTACTGTTTTGCAAAAATACTTTCTTTCAATACAAATGTTAAAAGGACGAATTGAATTAAAAAAAATTGGTGTTTTCGCGTATGCGCGAATGGTCACATGGGATAACAGAAGCACCTTATTGAATATTGAAAAGGTATTAAGGAAAAAACCGTATATTGCGTGTGTGTACGTTTTTATTCTTAATGGATAAACTACATTTAAATACGATAATCCAAGTTTCGTTGTTCTTATATTTGACTTATTATTAACTCTAACACTGGCTGTTGACAAATATACCTACGTTTATGAAAAAGTGTAATTTTGCGCGGGAATTTCATATTTTTTTTATATCAGCAGTTACCTGTCCACTGTTGAACATAGGCCTTTCCCATAAGAGAAATTTTGCCAGTAGGTGTCATGCTTGGTATTCGGCTTGGCAACCGCAGACATGTGGCGGGAAGGGATTGTTAGCAATGGAGTTTGACAGCCCCATTGCTAGCAATATGGCCTATTAGGTCGACCTTCACGTGGTCAGCAGGAACCATCGTGAACAACTCTTGTTGCATTCGTCACGATCATCTAACTGACCTGCTTTATCCTCATCTATCATCTTTCACTAGTGCCCCGGTGTATACCGATAGCGCTAGTAAGGTAGCAATGGTAACCCCGCCTGCGCTTTCGGTATACACTGGTGGGGCACCAGTGAAGGATGATAGCTGAGAATGAAGCAGGTCAGTTAGCCCACTTTAACGAATTTATATTTTTTATTGGCCACTCTGTCCCATTGGTGTTTCTACCGTGAAGCAGTTGTGTTTGCATGACAGTGTTTCAGTTTGAAGGATGAGATATGGCAGTGAATTTATAGGGTACAGAGGAATAACATCTGAGTCCTCAGGAATGGCAACGCATGGGGAGTATCATGGACGAAACAGTATACTCTGTTATGTGCATGGCACTGCTCATGTCTATAGGCGACGGTTACCACTTTCCATCAGGTAGCCGGACAGATTGTTTGCCGTTCTAAGTTGCATAAAAAAAATTGTTTGTATCTATCATCGTACTCGACGTTACATTCCCAGATGTCGTCGTTGCTACACGGACAGCTACTTTAACATTTAATTAGCCAAGTTGCAATTAATTCCATATTTAGATACCTAATTGTATTCAACCAAGCTCCTAAAATGGTATCCAAAATTAGTCTGCTCTCTAAATAACGCAATACCATAATTAAAATGGTATAGCCAATTTGCAAACCAAATATGTATAATAGGGGGAAAAGGGATTGTTAGTAATGGGGTCTAATGAACCCATTGCTAGCAATGCACCCACCACGCGGTTCCCCCTGGAAACTATCGTGAATAATTCTTGTTGAATTCGTCACGATGGGCTAACTGGCTTGCTTCATTCTCACCTATCATCACCTCTCACTGGTGCCCCGCCAGTGTATACCAATAGCGCCAGCGGGATTACCATTTCATTATGACCCATTAAAAAAAAATATCTATAAACTATTTACTTAATATCAAAATTTATAAAAAATTATAGATAATTACTAGCTAACTCGGCAAACGTTGTTTTTCTATATACATTATTTCTAGAACTATACATGAAAATATATCGTACTACAATTATTATATTCGATTGCCATCTTACAACCCTATTGCGGCATATAAAAATCGCGATTAAAAAACAGGAGTTGATCGTAAAAGCGTGAAAATTTGAATTTATATGTATTTTTCAATGCTAAATCATAATAAAATAAAAATAAAAAAAAAAATTGTCAAAAAATAAAAATAAAATATTTAGACGTGAGTGAACCTTATCATTGAGGGGTATGAAAAATAAATGTTGGCCGATTCTCAGACCTACCCAATATGCACACAAAATTTCATAAATATCGGTAAAGCCGTTTCGGAGGAGTTTGGTAACAAACACCGTGACACGAGAATTTTATATATTAGATTTTAAAACTTCGAAATATAAATGTGAAAGTTTAAAAACGATTTAAATGATAAAAATGACAACATTGCCTTGTATTTTTGGCAAGAATTCTCAACTAGTGTTGAGTCCTCATTCATCCATCATCGTTCATATCAGCCTTTCACTGCCCACTGTTTTTTTTTATGGATGATAATGGAATGGTAACCCCGCCTGCGCTATCGGTATACACCGGCGGGGCACCAGTGAGAGATGATTGGTGAGGATGAAAAGGCAGGTCAGTTAGCCCGTTATGAAAAATTCAACGATAAATTAGTCACGATGGTTTCCAGGGGAAACCGCGTGGAGGTCGACCTGATAAGGTATATTGATAGCGATGGGGACTAACCTTCTCATTACTAACAATCCCTTCCCCCCACTGCCCACTGTTGAACACGTCCCTCCCTATAGGAAGGTTTTGACAGTAGCTGTCAAGCTGCACGTTGCACATTGAGACGATCTGCACTGAAAAATAATTTAAAATTGTGATCCACGGAAAAAAAGACTCCAATTGTGGCCAATAATTTTTATTTAAAATCTAATTTAAAACTGCTAGAACGATTTCGATAAAATTTCTATGGAACTAATCTGAAAGAAGTAAATAACAAAAAAACCGGTTTTCACCGGTAAAATGTAGTTAATTTATAATTATTAATGTATATAATTTAAAATGCCTTTAAATTTCAATCCTACAGTCCGCCTCATATTTGGCATAACCAGTTCGAACAATAACATTATTAAGTAGTTAAATATCATATTGGTGCGAAACTGGCGCCCTCTGATGTAAAGAATTACTAGCCTCTGTTGAAAAAAAAAACATATATATATATATATTTGATAAGAGAGAGTGAAGAACCTCCAACATAACCATCTAAAGAAAAAGAAGCCAGAAAAGAGAAGAAAATGTCATGCCGACATACCATCCATGTATGTCTGCTTAAAACCAAGTGACCCGGAGGTGGTAGCTTCCGGAGTTGAAGCTGGGGCGATGCGGTACCCCGAGGGTAGGCCCCGAGGCCCCTACCTCGTTCGCTTTATCAACTGGCGGGTCATGAGAAGACTTAATTAATTAATTGTACACGAAGGGCTGCGGTATTAGATTTAATGTAACTCATAGAATATTAAGTAACTATTTAAACAAAACCATAGATTAGACCAGTGATTCTCAACCACTGTGCCGCGGCACTTTTGTGTGACGCCAAATTTTGCAAATTATTAAAAATTTTTGTCATAAACTATTTATGCGGTGTGTTGTGGTAAGTAAATAATTTTTATCTTTTTCTTTGTGCGCCGTAAAATTTTGAAATCGTTAAATATGTGCCGTAATAAAAAAAAGTTGACAATCACTGGGTTAGACCATAACGAAACGATTCCCCAGATTTAATTAAAGTCTACCAGCACAGAAACAAAGCACCTCATTATTCAAGCATAAATCAGAGTGCAACAACCCGACGTACCAATTACGTATAAAAAAAAAACAAATGCGTCTGACGACCACAATGGAGTGTTTTGTCTCTGACGTCTGACTCTATATCTATGGTATTATCTGAGTTCCATGCGTGAAGGAACGGCCCCGTGATTACTGGCACTTGCATTGATGACGTTATATTTGACCCATTAGCTCTTTACTTTACAAAAAAGGAACGATTTTCAAGTACATGAGTGAATCTTCGGTGCAACGTGCAGTCAATATATGTAAATGAGATGTCGTTATGCATATAAGAAAGATGAAAGAAAAGAGATCTCTGGCAGAGATAAGATATAACCTAAAGAGATAACCTTGCTCACAATCTTAGATTATATAGACAGAGTCTCGAGCCTCAAAAATGGATCAACTTTTTGTCAGCTAATTATCAAATTAACTGCATCGTTTTTTTTATCAGTGTTTTATATACTTACGCATAAAATGTATCATGACAGATACAGAAATTATAACAAAATAAATATAGAAGGTATAAAGGAGACTTTGTACAAAAGTCGATTGCTTGGATACCTCTGTCCCATTCGTATTTCTACCGCGAAGCAGTTGTGTTTGCATGGCTGTGTTTCGGTGGGATATGGCGTGAATTTACTGGGTACAGAGGAATAACACCTGAGTCCTCAGGAATGGCAACGTGTGGGGGTATCATGAGCGAAACAGTATAGTCTGTTATGTCCATGGTACTGCTCATGTCTATAGTCGACGGTTACTACTTTCCATCAGGTGGGCCGTCAGCTTGTTTGCCATTCTAAGTTGTATAAAAAAAGGAGTCACCCATAACCATTTATCACGCAAAATTTTATGAAAAAATTGACCCGCTTTTTCGAAGCATTTGTATGTAGACATTCTATCTATATAATATAAGCTCACAATATTTATAAATGCATTAAAAATGTAATTTACAAGTGCAATAAAGAATATACATATAAAATTAATATAACCTATTCTAATAATGATTGACTATTTATCCCAAGGGTTAATTATTAGAGAATGCTACTAACATTATAAGAAAGGAAAAAAAAGTTTTTTTTTCGTAATGGATAGTGTAATTATAGTATTATATCATCTGTGGTTAAGTGAAATTTGAGTTTCCGAAACCTTCCGCTAGAGGCGCAGCTAAATTTTCAATACTAATCGTAGCAAATCTAAACACTAAACTCTTTTTTTATGATGATATCAACATAATTAAAATGTTACAACCATTTGTGATAAATATGAATTATAAACACAAATATGATAATTCAAAATTATGTAGATGTTAATATTTAAATGTTATTTGTAAAATGATTTATAATCCACTGCATGATTGTATAAAAATACATCTTAAAATGTCAAACAAGTTTACTTCCATCTGACGAAAAGTGATAACTGTTACCTACA